TCGTATCTGCTGGAGACTTTAAATGATCGCTATAGCAAAAAGCTGGTCCAGACATACAGTGTATTTCCTAACCAGATGGAGACAAGTGATGTGGTAGTCCAACCCTATAACTCACTTTTAACACTCAAGCGACTGACTCTAAATGCAGATTGTGTTGTTGTTCTGGACAATACTGCACTGAATAGAATTGCTGTTGAGCGCCTACATTTGTCAACTCCCACATTTGCTCAAACAAACTCTTTGGTATCTACTGTTATGTCTGCTAGCACAACTACCCTGCGGTATCCAGGATATATGAACAATGACTTGGTTGGTCTTCTTGCATCTTTAATTCCAACACCAAGATGTCATTTTCTCATGACTGGATATACACCGCTCACAGTGGAGCGTCAGGTAAGATTCAAACTTGATTTCTTTATGATTTTATTTAATTTGTTCGATAACAATACTGTTTCATTAGTAGTCTTATAATTGATTATGTAAAAAATGAGTCTCAGTTAATAGATTATTAGAATCTCTTCAGTAGTTTGATGGATTTTGTCGAGACATAGTTGGATTATTTCAGATACACCAATTAGCAACTCCATCAAATTATATTATTTTGGTTTGTCATTTCTTTATATATTTTCACTTGGCATGCTTATGCTCTTAAAGGAGGATTTGCTGATGATCTGATGCAAATAATCTCATGGCAGGCTAACGTGATTCGTAAAACTACTGTACTGGATGTTATGAGAAGACTTCTGCAGGTGAGAAATTTCATTCCTTTTTGTTTAACCAAAGTGTAGTTAGGTATCAAACTGACCCTTTTTTTTTTTTTCAGACCAAGAATATCATGGTTTCCTCTTATGCACGAACAAAAGAAGCTAGTCAAGCAAAATACATTTCGATATTGAATATTATTCAGGGTGAAGTGGACCCTACTCAGGTAATACTTTCTTATAGTTTATGAACCTGTTAGAAGTCTCTTACTGTAGAAGACTGCTTGAAAAGATGAATGAACTTGTTAAGTTAATCACCATGAGGGCAGCACATTTGGGAAGTCAACCCTTAGCTGCTTCCATTTTCTCTCTCCATAACTGCCTCATAATTTGGCTTTAGTTATGTGATACTTTAGTTTCAGTAAGTTGGCTTTTTGTTAGGTCAGCCCAGCTATAGTGTCAGTGTGTTGATCCTGTTTTATCTTTTAGCTTTGTCTAGGGTCTCTTTGTGCCTGTTACATGGTTTTGCATATCATTACATGGAGAGGCTGCTATTAATAGAGATGGTTTTTTGCATATCATAAGCGCAAGCAGTTTTTTCTTTTTGCACACAAGTAAATTCATCTATATTGCATTGCCTGCTCCTTTATCAGGTTCATGAAAGTTTGCAGAGGATTCGTGAAAGGAAGCTTGTTAACTTTATTGAGTGGGGCCCTGCAAGTATACAGGTCTTTTCCTATAGTACAGTGAATAAAACCTTTTTCTTCATTCCATTTACTCTTTTCCTCGTCTAATCAGATTATAATATCTACTCATGTTATATTTTTTCTTTTTCTTTTTGAAGGTTGCTTTGTCTAGAAAGTCTCCTTATGTTCAAACTGCGCACAGGGTAGGAACAAAATCTGTGCCCTTACTTTCTCTGTTTTGGTTTATTTTTCATTAGAATCTTACGAAAAACATAAATCTTTCTAGAGATTATGTTATTCAGTTTCATATGTCAATTTTGAAGATGTTGAATTTCTCATGCAATGTTTAGTGTAACTAGAATGTTATGCAAATTTTGTGAAAGAATAAATGAGCAAACTGCATTTGTAGGTAAGTGGGCTTATGCTAGCAAGCCACACTAGCATCCGCCACCTCTTCAGCAAATGTTTGAGCCAGTATGAGAAGCTGAGAAAAAAGCAAGCTTTTCTTGATAACTATCGAAAATTTCCAATGTTTGCTGTAAGTTGCCTTCCTCATGTTTCTCACATGCCTCTGGTCAGTTGTCAATACATGGATTATACTATACAGTCCCTGTTTTATCTTCAGCTAGTAATCATGAAAAAGGAACCCATCTTTTCGATCAGAAACATTACGGTTTTATTGTTCACAATGCTCCATTTCAGATCAGCAACATGATTTTGTTAATCTCCACTAGCCCTTTTTGGCTGGAGTGTAGAATGCTTCGAGATAAGGTGCACTAGCTTTGTACACTGCTTTTTTATTATCTGTTGCAAAATGTTTTTTCAGGACAATGATCTTTCTGAATTTGATGAATCACGGGACATAATTGAGAGTTTAGTTGATGAATACAAAGCCTGTGAGTCCCCAGATTACATAAAATGGGGAATGGAGGTATATGACTACTGGCCCTGACTTTCCCCAGATTACTTCTTATCTTTATGCTGCTGATTTTATGTTATATTGCAGGATCCGGACAACCTTTTAACAGAAGAAGGTAATGCTAAAGGAACAGTGGATCCAAAATTGGCAATTTGAATTACCAAGTAAGTTAAAAAGTTTATGCTTCTTGGTAATTGCTATAATTATAGGTTCTATTTGTGTTTCCTCTCATTGAGAATTACTTCAGCGAGCTGAATTTTATCCGACGTATAGTTCAGTTGGAGTTTTTTGCTAATTTTTTCTACATAGAATGCCTTTCTGAAGCGTGTTTTTGTAACTTTAGCATGTATGAGACTGCAGGCTGCAAAATAGCATCTTTATGAATGTTTATGCTAAATAGATTGGAAGGTCCTGTTAGCTTGTGGTAGTTTCACATTGAGTGAGTTGTTTGTGTCTTATTTTGTTCTCGGATCCCTGTATCTTGTATTCCTGTCTCTGTTTCCTTTCTGCAAAAAGGTGACTAGTTTTGAATTTTACTCATTTGCAGATTGTAGTTATGATGCTGAAAGCACAGTTGAAAACTGATTGTAAGTAAATATGACAAATTTATGGTTTGAGATCTTTTTTTTTGGGTGTGAAGATTGGTGATTTTCGTGGTGTGTCGATTGCTTGGGTGTTTGATTTTGTTAGTCTTCAAAAAAAGAAAAGGAATCCCAACCCACACCTTGCAGATTTTGAGTTTTGTTGGATCAGGTTTTTCATTATCTTCCAATTATTACTAAATTTCCTGGAACCTAGAGGACAGAGACTACATTTGCAGTCAGATAATGAGATTTCCTGCTTGGATGTCTTTGATGCTTTGCAGGTGTTAATTCTATTCGGGACTAAATTTGTAGTATTGACAAGTAAAATTATTTTCGTGATTTATCACACCCTTTTTTGTGTAATATCTCAAAACATGGCATGTGAAGCGTTTTCTGTGGTCCCGTCCACATGGTAGGTTGGTAATGGTCCAACAGTGTTTATTGATTTGATGGTTATCCATGCTGCTGGGTGGCGTTGTGATTGTCCTGTACGGTTTGTATAAATCATGAAATTTATCTTGTGGTGTCAAAATTCCAGATTTGGTGTTTGGTGTTCCGTGCTGTCTGAATCCATTGCATGTGTTGTTATGGTGGTTTATTTCATGTGATTTTGAATCACCCGAGTTACAACTTACCCATGAATTGTGTTTGCTTTCTTCAACCTGTGCATATATGACTAGCATAGGATGGGTAGAAGAAGGGAAAACAGATGTTTGATGATTAATTGCAGCTACCAGACTGGAAAAATTTGCCTTGTATTTTGGGCTGATTCTAAGTTTGTTTGCTTGCAAGCAGAGCATTTAAAACAGGATATACTAACACGATAATTTTTTATTTATTTATGTAACCATCTCCTTCATATTTCCTAGGGAGGTGAGAATATCCTGCTTGACATTATTGCTGTTGACTCAACATAAAAATTGAGAATACCTCAAGGTCATCATCCATGGACATCTATGGGCTTTTTTCTTGATAGCGCAAGTTGTGCAGAACCATTTAGTGAGAGCATTTTGAATTTGAATTTCTGGCTCCCAGCCCGTTCTCATCTGGAATCGCCTTGCGGGCAAAGGTGAGAGTGACAGAGCAGATGTGGCCAGGAAAGACAACCTGAACGAGTTGCTAAAATCATGAAAACCGTCATTTGGCTCCCCAATTGCTTCATTTTTTCCCCGAGGACTGTGGCTTAACGAATGCAAAAATCATCATTTGAAATGTTTCGCTAAGAAACTCTCTCACTGGATGGATGTGCTCGTGAGATGAAAATTATACAAGTTCGATTTAGCATTACATTTCAGTAGACATTCAGCCGCTTGAGTTTAGTTCGAAGCCACCTCTACGGTTTGCCACCCACAAATTTGTGTGGCACTATTAGCTTAGCGCTTCTTTAACCACATACGGGCATGGTTCCGAATAAGCCAGTCAATTCCCTTCCTTTCAGTGTTAATCCATGTGAAAAAACAAAAAACATTGTTTTCCATTTAATTGTAGTCTTCGAATGTTGGATTCTTCCCACATGCATTCAAGTTTTTTCGGTTTCAATTTCATATATAAGTAATCCACCCATAGGTAATTAATATCCTTGTCAGAATTTTCAAATTTACGATTGTCAGATCGAATACAAATCTGTTGTCAATTATTATTAGCTATTGAGATTCGCTAGTTTTAAAAGTAATTTTTCAATCCTAATTTCAAAGTCATATCTCAAATTCAAATTTCCACGCAACCACATGTCGGTATCAAAAAACCCCTCGGATGCCTCACCAACGTTACAAATCAAATTTTACAGATATATATATATATTATACAAAGTTGAAGAAATTAGCCGTTAAGTCCGTTACAAAAACGACAGAAGGTGAGGTGGGGTGAGGTGAGGTGACACAAACAAAAGGGTCAAGCGACAACTCGACTGACAGGCTGTTAAAAAAAAAAAAAAGGAGGAGGAGGAAGGTCCGACCGTCACATGGCGCATTGTAAGCAAAGCCAAATCTTAAAAGAAAGATAGATACCCTCAATTTCTATGGACCCCGCACTCACTGCTCTCAATAGTAAACACTGCGACGTGCCAATTCTGACTCTAATTACCAAATAGTGGCTTCCCTCTTTCCTCTCTCTCTCGCACATTCACCGAGCCTTCTTGTATTTATACACTCCTCCCTCTATTCTCTCCTTATCCTCCCCCCATCTCTCTCTCGCAAAGACGAGCACATTGTTCTTATTTCTGTTCTACCTCTCTTTGCGAAGCTAGTAGTAGCTAGATCTCTCTGCTTTTTTCTTAGATCTTAAGAGTTAAAAAGCATAGCAATGGCAGTTTGTGCTTCATTCAAGGCTTTTATTGCCGTTTTGGCCGTTGCTTCTCTTATTTTGGCTGTTGTCTCCCCTTCTGTTGAGGCCCAGTCTCCTGCTCCCGCCCCTGCACCTACCAGCGATGGTAATCTCCTCTTCTCTCCGTTGGCTTTGATTTTTGTGGATTCTTTCTGCTTAGATTCAAAACTACGAAAGCCATTGTAGTTTCCTTGCTACCCTCCCCTCTTCTTTTAGATTCTTCTTTTGAATCCCCTTGGGGAGAGATTCTCGTAAATGCCAGAGATTCTCTTAGATGGTCCATTTAAAACCTAAACAGGGAGGTGTTTTCCATTAATTAAGCGTGATAGCAGCTCTCTTTGAATTTATTTTTTTAATAGATTTTGCTTAATGTTTTTGCAGGGACTTCAATCGACCAAGGAATCGCATACCTGCTGATGCTTGTGGCTCTGGTGCTCACATACCTGATTCACCCGCTGGATGCTTCATCCTACACTTTCTTTTGAATTTTCTAGGACTTGTAGAGATGGATAGTGCTCACTTACCTGGTTTCAGAAGGAATTTCTTATGAGTGATTGATTGTGGTGGCGGCATTGGTTATCAAAAGATTGATTCAATTTTATTTTTTTCTCGAAGTTGCGTTTTTATTAAAGCTTTCATTTTGGTCTCTAAAATGTAAATACTACTCTACTCCGTTGATATTAGACCGTGGTGAGTGGCCCTAAGGAACCCCCTCATCGGGCAATCCATCCCATATTATTATGCGTTAAAAACTTGTTTAATTGGGTAACCTTCTCTCCAAATCTTTTTGCCCGTACGATCACATGCCGGTAATTGTTAAAAGAGGACAAAAACAATAAAACAAATCAAGGCATAGTTGCATCACTAGAAATGATTGTTGTGTGAATAAAAATCTCTCCCGGGATTCCCAGGCCCTAAGAAGGGGAGTCTAATTCTTATACTCTGTGGCTACCCTGGAGCGAGAGGATGACTCTTTACCTTTTTTTTTCCTTTCTTTTTTCGTAAAGACAAGACAATCAATGTCGTACGCTACGCTGCAATCACGCATGCCAACGTTTCTTGCAAATGCGAATCGCAACATTCTCAATTGACGAACAGAATCAATGCCGAGAAACGCGGGAACCAGCTCTTGCAAACAGTCCCTTCACTTCCCCCTGTTCTACAAGGAAGCTAGCAAGCTAATATCTAGAACACTTACCAGTTGAAAAGATTTCAATCAGCAATTGTTCTTCTTCGGCTTTGACTATCTGGCTCATGCACAAGTGGAGCATGGATATCAGGCAAGTGTGTTCCGGGCAGACATCTATCACCACCTTCTCCAAATAACCTCAGATAAATCATGGAATTAATTGAATATTTCGCATAAATGAAATAAAGAAATGGAAAATTGGCCATATGACAGTCCAAGCAGATTGTACGACATAATTGCTGCCACGAAAATTCAAAGGCAAGAATTGATTGTAGACGTGGAGCATTCTAGTCAGCGGGAATGGACAATGGACAATGGACAAGGGAAACAGAACAAAAATGATCGGACCACTTAGTTCAAATTTGAAGTTTTTACATCTGATCGTTCCTGCGAAACTATCCCACAGATGATGCTCTCTGCAGGTGCCTATGGTGCTTTTCACGTCAGGAAACATCTGGAATAACAATTTTAGATCAGAAATTAACACTGTTCAATATGCTATTTATCAGGCTCCTGATTTTCTCATTAAAGCCAATTACAATAAAATAGCAGCAATGAGCATACCGTATTCGATTCAAAACGCGCCGATTCACATAGAAAGACCTTGGTAAGGAACTCTTGCTGCCTGAGCTTGCAACCTTGTCTACGAAAATACATAATGAATAAATCATCAATTAAAACATTATCACTCACAAAAGAAGATTTAATTAAAAAAATGAAGAAATGAGTGGTAATTAAAAAAAATAAAAGGAAGAATTGGAGGAACTGAAATAGAAAATTAGGCACCTTGGCGACATCGAGAGGATTAACAATGACGGCGGAGAGAACAGCGGCACCAGCTGCAGCGAAAGCTCTGCTTCCAAAACCTAATTCAAAATCTGATGGGACTGATTTTGATTCCTCAATGTTAATCATAAGAATATTACTACCTTCTTTCGAGAGTAGCTGTTGTCGATTTCTTCAATATCAACTCTTCATGTTGCTGCTGCATTTATCCATGAAGGCAAGCTCTCCATTGTTAAAATTGGTAATATCTCTACATACAAAAGTAACATTTCATTCTCTAATTTATAGGATTATGATTTCTTTATAGCAAATCTTATAACTTTTATAAGATATGACTTAATAAAAAACACTTTAAGGTGAAAAAATATATATATTTTGAATTGCTTGATTCTTACAAAATTTATAATTCATTATTAATCAACTTGTTGAGATTCATTATATGCAACAAATAATACCTGAAACTTAAAAAAAATATAATAATATTTATAAAAAACATATTAATATCTAAAAGTAATATATTATTTATTAAGATAAAATAATATTAAATTAACTAAAATGGAATATTATGACTAATGTTGGCCAATAAAAAAACATAGTTGTTAAAACATATATGTTTTTAATGTCTTATGAGCCAATTTTTTTTTTTCTAGATCTTGCATGATAGGGTTTTATCATACAAAAATAAGTGCATCATATTTTTATTGATATAATTGATTATTATTTGTATTAATTATTACAATTTTATGATTTATTTTTTACAATCTAAATTTATATTATATTTTTCATATTGTGTTAAAAAAAATAATTTCCCGACAGTTATGATCCCACCACCATTTGCTCCACTTTGTATTGTCTTTCTAGTCTAAATTTTATTTATTATCCATATTATATAATTTTTGCAAGTCAAGCTTGGTGGTGTAGAATGCCTTGATTTTTATTTACTAGGGAAATTAAGTTGGGGTTTGCAATGAATGGAAGGGAAAACGGAGGGGCAATTGGTTATAAGAAAGGGCGGCGGTTAGTTAAACTTGTTTTAAACATGTCTCCTTATGAAATATTTAAGTAATACTGTTTTAATAAAAAATAATATACCTAGATTCATCCAATAATATCTCTTCTTCTTCTTCTTCTTCTTTTTTCAGACGAGTCCTGAGTCGATGACAACTATTTATGGTTGTGAGGTGTAGAGACCATAAAAATAGAAAATGACTGGCTCACAAAGCCGCATTAGTGGACTGCACTATAGAAGGTGACCAGGAATTCTTTGACAATCTGGACTTGGTATTGGTTCGGTCCGTACAAGGAGATCACCGTTTAGCCCAGAAAATAAAATGCAAATCATTACATTCCGCTCTTGGAAGCAAGCTGGTCTCCAGAAATACGGACATTTTTAAAAATTAGCATAGCTCTTAAAAAAAAAATTATAAAAAATAATATCATTTAAATTTATTTAAATTTTTTTGTAGTAAAATAATAAATCTTCTCACACTATCATATGATTAGGTGAAACACTAATTATCTAGCTCAATTGATTATATTTAATTGAAAAAATTAATCAATTATTTTACACAAAAACTATGATTTAATGAATTTTTTTCTAAATATATTTATGAGATAAAATTATAAATTTTTATCCAATTTGTAGACAAAAAATAGACTCTGGTTAAAATCTTAAAAAATTATTGTTTACACAGTAATTATTTTTTATTTTTTAATATCTATAATATAGTCAGACTTATAATAATATGTGATTTTGAGTGGTCAAATGTGAGTTTATCATAACTAAATAAAAATATGCTTCAAATAGATTAATTAGATGACCTAACAGATATATTTATAGACTAGTAGGATAGATCTAAACTTAAAAAAATGTATAATCACATCATACTAGAATAATAGTTTAAAATGATCATAATTTTTTATTTAGTCATTGAATTACACTCAAATTTTTACAAGAATTTCTGAAAATTATTTTCTCAATATTAGTTATGGCATTTCTACCATGACTGTTGGATCTTTAAATATTAAAAATCTTGTTGAGCTATTTAAATTTTAATAATTTTAAAATTTTTTTAATTATTTTTAGAATTGGTTAACCGGTTTCACTAGCCATTATAAAATATCGACCTATTGAATCAAAAAATTTAAGTTTCATCTTGTTATACTTTAAAAACATGACATTTTCTAAATATTACTATTTTATAAACATGATAAAATAAAAATATATTATTTCACACGAACGTTTTGCTTCTATGTTAATTCTTCAATTGTTTTGATTTTGTGTTCTTATTTTCTAATTTATCCAAGATATAGCCACCTTTCTTCTCCCCAACTGAACTCCTGGCTTAGTGGAAATTCCCTAAAAACATGTTTGATTCCCTAACCTAGTAGAGAAAGAGAGGATGTTGCATTCTGATTGCTGTTGCGTGATTTGTTTGGCCGACGTAATTGCCGTTCAATATTCAATATTTAATTATTTTTATGGAGGTCTGTGTTTCTAATTGTCTATGGACTAAAGTTTCCGCTGTTTTCTTTTTCTTTTTGCTTTATTTAGCAGTGAAAAGAAACACAGAGTTAATTACGTGTAAAGAACAAGGTGCTAAAGGAGTAAAGCAATTTCAGAATGCATAAAAGTGGGATGTGCAATAAGCACAACAACGTGATCCATGAAATTGATCCTATACGAAGTTTTACTTTCTGTTCGATTCTGAGTAGATAAAATCATATACTATCGAGGTTGAATCGAGTAGTGGTTAACCGAATTAAGCATAATAAAATCATCCCCTGCCATAAAAAACATCTAGAGGACTGTTTGAGGGGGATAATGCCGTACTGTTCTCTTTTGTTCTTGAATATACTGGTTCAACCAATGAAACAACTTTCCTTTGTGAACTGCAGCAATTTAGCCTGCCATGGCAGAATTTTACTGTAGATGAAACGCTAGCTGAAACCAAGATCAGTTTTGCTGCAACTCCAATAGCTTTTTGCCACCTCCACTGGTTGAATAACATTCTAATCCAACAAACAACAAAACCTGCAGTTGCCGTCCTCTTTTCCTCTTGAACATTGGAACCATCACCGTTGATCTTCCTTTTCTCACTCAACTTCCAGTCACAAACAGTCTTTCCATTGCTAAAACAGGCGTTCAATTCTTCCACCACAGCAAGTGGTCTTCCTTGATATTGTGCCACCTTTTCTATGAGAATTAACCAGCTTCCTTCTAATCGTGTAATTGCCCCTTGCCTATCAATCGGTTGCCATGATCGTAATCTCTGCATAATGGTATTACGGGAAGGAAGGTAAGCCTAGCAACTTCATGAGAAAAGGATATAGAGTTGCCCGCTGACATTTTGTGATTTCCACTATGGGAATACAAGTAACGCTACTTTGCAGTTCATTACATCAAGAAATTTCCATCAGTATTCGATCTCAGTACCTTGACGTAGTCGGAGCCTGAAAATCAATTATGTACTCTCTATGTTTATTTCTTGTGCAGTACTTCAAGTTCGAAATAAACTAGAAATTATCGAGTAGAATCTGGTTTTTGAAAGACTGCGCCTTTATTTATGGGACCCTGGTCTGCCTGGCTAACAATTTTTCAATAGTAGTTCAAGCTGTTACTGTTAAGTAACGTGCAATGTAGAACTACTATATATGAAGAATGCCAGAGGACTTGTGTGCTGTATATACAACTATCAATATTAATTACCAAAGAATTTTCATTTAAGTACTCGTTGATTCGAGGCGCAATGTCTCTAACATGTGACTGTAATGTCAAAATCTGATAAATCCAAATGAAACTATCTGCAAGACTAATTTCAGCACGCTAATTCTGAGCTAGCTATCTCGAAATAAGTAGAGGAAAAGAATGGTCAACGTACCTGTAAAATCATAAGCACGTTCCTTACTTCCTTTAATGAATCCTTAATGGCAATCAATCCTTCCTTCTCCTGAAATGGGGTCTCCACTATGCTATAATAACGACCATTTTCTGAACAGAACCTGCAGAAGTAGCTGTTAATGTTTTTGATTTCCTCAGCGAGCCCGTCATGCAAACCCCATGCTCTCTCAATGAGAGTCTGCAGGTCCCTCCTTAATTCCATCGAAGAGGAACAGCAGAGCAATTAAAACCTTCTCTTTTAGTTCTTCCAGCAATGCTCACTAACACTTTTCAGACTTTGCCGGCTTTGGTTTTATTAGGTCTGTGGTGGGAATGGAAACTGGAAGGCAGGCCTCTTCCTACTTTTTGTATGGTTGGCGATTTGGTTTCTTATCGAAACGAAACGGATCATACTGTTCCTTTTCCTTCTCTTCTTTTTTCGCGTGGGTTTGCTTTAAAGAGAAGTTTGTTTGTAAGCGAGAGGCTTAGTTGTTTATACCCCACAACCTTGCTTTCCAGCACATGGCGCCAAAGCAATGCATCTGTGTCATCATTTGCATATGCACCATTACATATATATATATATATATATATATGGATGGTTGGTTAGGGCCGAAGGACCATTAGCCAAGAAATTTGCTGTGGCAGTGCGAATTGTTCATTGGAGATCACGGAGTGTCAGCAGCAGGAGCATGCTAAAATTATGGCGTGCCATCATCGATCCCTCATCATTTAACCCGAAGATCATCCATAACATTGTTCTTTTCAAAGATTTGAAACACTGGCATCTATTACTGAGAAGGTTACTGCGATCACTCGAAAATCAAAGGGTAAAAAAGGGGTCCAACCCTATAAAGCTAGAAGCAAACTCATGACAAAATGGGATGGGCTGCACTTCATTGACAGAAAATTATGAAATCTTATTACCTACTCTCTCCCTTTACGTTTTAATCTCCGCAAGATTATCTTTAGCAGTAACTAGCTCTTCGCAACGCCATAAGGCTTGGATTCTTAATTTATCATTACTAACATTTCTGGACAAATTCTTGAGATTAATCATATACATAACCAGCTCCAGTAACTTCACGGGATAATTGTTGTCATTCCCAAACGACGAAGATGGACGGAACGCTAATCCTTGGATCTTGGCAACCGGACAAGCCGATGACCAATAGCGGGACCACAACCACAAGGAAAGCGGACTTTAGAGTCATTGAAAACACCACGCCCATGGGCTGCTTCTGAAAATTGACTAGGCCCAAATTGAGACGACGCCAATAATTCGCGTCTTGCTCAGTTTACTCATTTGAATTTTAAAAGATAGTATTAGATGTTACCGTGATTATTTTTTT